GATGAACTAATAGTTGCCTGTGCCCCACCAAGTTCTGCATGTGGAATGTGGACATTTGGCCAGGAGCTATGGGACGAGAGGTGACTTAGCCCACTGTTGCCTTTTCAGAGACCAAATGTCTTGCCACTTATGCAGGCTTCTGAAGAAGACAGTTGACCGTCCAACTTAGCTTTAGCCTTTTGCTAAGAGCTCTTTAGTATTTTATCTGCTGTGCTGGGAGCTGGAGATCGGCTGCCAATTTATGGTTGCCGCACGACCAACAGACAGGAAAGGTGGGGGCTCATGATCTGCCTCACATCTTAGTCACGTTTGCATTGTATCACTGGTTTCTGATTTGACTCCCCATCCACTAACTAGCTTGCTGGTCTTCTTTGCAAATTGCCATGATCTGATCGTCATCTCTTCACTGAATGGTCTTATGTTGCTTTGAGTGTGCGTCAAACTCAAAGCCAGGGCCACCAAGCTGGATTCGAGAGAAGAAATGAATGCCCCGAGTTCAGTAATGGTGGGGGTTCAGATTCTAATAACTAACCATCATATGAATATTGTACACTAATTTTCTTGAATTGTGACATAGTAATTCATATATACATACATACATATATATATATATATATATATGAATTACCTGGGACAAAGTTAGCTGCTAGCAGTTCAGACAGTTCTGTCTAGAGGGATTAATTTAGAAAATCCTATTCTCCTACTGTTACTAGGTCAGGATGCTGATGTTGAATATTATATTTTCAGGTCAACCTAAAGCAGACAATTTTGTCATATGTTAATGGGTAAATATCATGAGTGGATCATAAATTATAAAAAAATATATTTATATGATATTTAAATTTTAAAAATTTTTAATATAATATATGAATTATGAATCTATTAATTAATTAGTATGCTATTTAATTTGACTAATTTCAAGTGATAATACGATATGAATAAATAATTTTACATGTATTATTTTAATTAATAGATTCATAATTTAAATAATATATTAAAAATTTTTAAAATTTAAATATTATATTAAATATTTTATTATAATTTAAAAATTATTCATAATATTAATTTTATATTAATATTTTATAGTATGAAAATGTGTTTTTTTTTAAAATTATTCAATGGGAAAAAAGGAAGCCAAAATATTAGTGGAAGGTAGTGGCAAAGTAGCCCAATGGCCAATGCACATGATTTAATTTTTGATCTTGGGCTGAATTCAAATCCACCAAATTAGGCCTCAACAAGCCTAATTAGTCTAGGGTTCTTGTTTTTCAAGCCCAATAAAAGAATTTTACATTCAATAAAAATGGGAAGCTCGAAACCCCTTTTAATAAAAATAGTTTGCCGATTATATTTGAATGTTTGATTTAATAATAAATAATGTATTTTTTTATTTAAATAATTAAATTTAAATAAAAAATACATGATGTCTACTATTAAGGATTTTTTTTTTCATTTCATTTTTTTATTGTACCCTTTTTAGTTGTAAGTAAATGGGAAGTAGACTTTAATTACCAAGTATCAATATGAGATTAGATGAGTTTACGAATTCGACTCGATTCGATTTTAAAATAATTAATTAAAATCCTAAATGATTTATCGGATACACAAAAAATTTCAGGTTAAAAAAACATTTTAAAAGTATTATGGTAGCTTATTCACGTATATCCTAGTAAAATATTAGTGTTTAATACGGTAATTGTATTTGATTTTCCGAAGGTGTGTAATTTTAAACTACATTAATAAATTAATTCATCATTTCAACAACATTAAAATGTTTTAATTAAAATTTAAAAAATTTTACTGTAGCGGCAAAATATGATGATGAATGGAATTGTATAAAATTTCTAATAAAAAACACCCAATATAATGCATGGTAGGAATGGTTGGTGCAGTGGAAAGTGCAGCAACCCTTAAGTCAACAGATGGTTATCTTTCGCATTACTTGGAAAGACAATCCAGGGACAGAAGCAAAATCCAAAGCCAAAATGGGAGATGAAGTAGCTTCTACATCTGCAACAGGTTTCAGTTTGGCTGACGAGTTGGCTCTGGAGAACTATATTCTTGGGCTTGGTTTGATGGAGGATCAGGACGATCATGTCCCATTTCCCCTATTGAGTCCCAGCAGTAATCAGGAGGCTCATCAACCAGTATCTTTTGATCGTGAAAACAGCAAAAACGGGGGTGGAGTACATTGCTGGAGTGATGGGTGGTCGGCTGTGTCAGGGGCTCCCAGTTTCACTACTACTTATGGTCCAGACCTCGAGGAACAGCACTTGACACCCCTTGGAATCACTGAAATAACTATTACTCAGAAGCGGCAGAGCCAGGTAAGTTTTTCAAAGAGAGGGATTATTTGCACTTCAGCTTTTTTTTTTTTTTTAATACACCTTAAAAATTATATTATAAATTTAATTTTTAATTTAAATATTCATTAATTAATATATTTTTATCTTTAATGTCCCATTTCGAAAATAGTTTTTTTTAAGCCCTTAAAGGTTTTCGGATTAAAAATTTTTGAAAAAAAAAAGTTTAATTTTTTTTAAAAATTTTTAGAAAATTTATTTATGAAAATTTCGAATTACACTTAAACGTTTTAACGTAAAATCTTATAAAATTAAATACAAATCAAACAAAAAATAAAAAAAATATTTATCTTTGATTTTATGTTTTTTAATTTTAAATGGATGAATTTTTTTTTTAATTTAGTTTGATTGGATTAAAAATCTTTTAAGATTTTTGGTTTAGAAGAGAGAGAGAGGGGGTGTGGTGTGAAAGAAAAAAAAATGAGGTGTTCGAATTTTTTGATAAATTTATGTTTTAGATATGAGGTGTGTTAAGTAAAAAATTAAACGTTAAAAATAGGTGAGTTGAGCGTTCCTTGAAGCGCAAATAGCAACACTCCTTTTCTATTCTAATGACTTGATTAATAATTGCTGATCTGCCTGTTACTTATATCCTTTATATTTGTACGTTCATTAGTAGCGGACAATGAAGGATCAAGGGCAATATCTAGCTGCTCATATTTTGTAGGGGATTGCTCACAACAACCTGTCTGCATTTCTCCTGACCTCCTTTACCTTCACAACCACTGTCCACCAATTCAAAGTTTTCAGCAAGCCAATGGGTAATTTGCAGGTAAAAAACACGAAGTACTATGTGAATGGCTCATTTGTAGTTAAGGAACTGCGCTAGAAGATTAGTGTTTAGCAAGTCGTCTATCTTAGACTATACTATGTTTTAATCAACCTGGGGCATCTGCACTTGACACACCGAGAGGGAAAAGGAAAAATATTAAATAAATCTGAAAATTAGTTTAGCTGGTTCATATAATCATATTTAAAAAATGACGGTTTAAATTTTAAATTTTAATACTTATAATCTTTTTACCTATCATTAGACTGTGACCTCTTATGTATAAAAAAAAATTAAATAAAAAGAGAAGAAAAGATAGATACTTAGCATGATGCAGGTGGAACTTTGCTAATTTCTTGTGAATTTTAAGTATGGCTTTAAGTATGGCTTATGATACCAATTCACCATTCAAAACGAAAAAGGAAGAAGGAAATTTAACAAGTTTCGGGTTCCATAATGCTTTCTATTATTCTTTTACATTAACTGTAACTAGAATTCCCGGTTTACATGTTATATTTTGTAATTTTGTATAAACCAACTTGAAGTAGTCATTTTTAGGATATTACTATGTTAACGTATGATTGTGCCTTGAAGTAAAGGACCTAATTACTGAACGTCCATTGATAGAAGTTCTAGATTTTATACAATGTTTTTACCAATTTGGAAATATGAAATTAACTAAGCTTTTCAAGTCATTATCACACTGCTGCGGAAATAGATTGATGAACCAATGCGAAGGCCTGATGTAGTAAAGATACAAGTTTGGACTTGGATTTCTGTGATTTTTTTTTTTTTTGGTACATTTGAAAACTAAAACCTGAAAAGAAATTGATATGCTTTCCCTTAAAATTGAAATTGATTTGATTACTTAAAATCTTGACATTTACCAAATTGATCGAAACAATAAATTCCTTAGCAAATTTATTTTCTTTAACAAGCAAAAAGTAGAAAAAAAAAAAGTAAACTAATATCTTCAGTAAATGCAAATAAAAATAGAGTTCCTGACCATTTTAAATTCACTATAGTTCATGACCTTCTAACTATTAAAACTAAAGACATTGTCACAAGTCACAAGTCACAAGTTTGTTGTGATTCCTAACTTTTAAAATAAATTTTGTACCTAAAAATCTTTTACGGTTACCGCTAATTCTTAACATATTTTGAAACAATTAAATGAGTTTACTTTTCATTTTATGGTGTCTAATCTAAAACTTGTCCAATTTCATTAAAGAACATAGTTGATGAAGTTTGCAGTATGACAAATTTTAATTCCTTCCAAATTGAAACATTACATGCCATGAAAAATACCCTGGATAATTACATAACGTCAAGCCCCTCAACTTTCAAAACTTTTTCAAGTATGATGTCCCGGCAATGAAAATTGAAGATCACAGAATGAACATGGATGATACAGCTAAGTATAATGGGTGATGCGAATTTCATCTTCAGGTCTAGTTGACCACTAATGTGCCTGGTGTAGGGTTAACAGGAACCCATTTCAACTTCTAGACCACCAGCTTCGCCCTGGCACATGAAGCTGATGCAATTGAAATCTTCATGTTCTATTAAACCATTGTTCTCAGTTTCATTAGCTGGGAAGTAACAAAGTGCTACAATGAAACCCCAGCTCCTGTCATTATTGAATTCCTTGGGGAAAACTTTCTGCTACAGGCTGGTCTGTTAACTGTTTTAACAATTTTGTCAGAATGATTTAAAATTATTCTTATACTTAAAGGGTGCTCATACTAGCAGGATTCTATATTCATTGAATACGATCATTCACTTTCTAGATGCCTCGAGATATGAAAGACATAGGACACGTGACTCAAAATTTCGTTCTGAAGAGCACCATAATTCCATAAGACAAAAGGGGGAGATGGTGGATATCACGCCCGAATGCAAGCTTTCCATGTCTCAATATTTTGCCCAACAGAAGGGGGAAAGGAAACATAAACCAACTTCCCTAGCCAGCGTGGTAATTCTAACAACAATAGTAATGCAAGACAAAACTATCAGCCATAAGCATTAATGCCAATTCCACTTTAACCTTTCGTATGACACTGGCTCTCCTAATTGTTTTGGCAAACAACAGTAAGAGCACGCTCAAGTTCATTATAGAAACAATCACTTAATACGACTCAAATTCATAGAGATGTCAGCTCAATGCTGACAGCTATATTCGGTATTTTTTCAAATACAAAGAGACTATACCAAATAGAAAAAGAGATTGTGGATGCTGAGATTTAAAATCTCATACGTTCTAAATGCTGCCTCCCAAAAATGATGATATGAACTGAGTCAAGTCTTGAGTTCCTATATTCAGCATTTCCACACCATAATACAATTTTAGTCTTCTAATTAACGGAGTTTAAACAAAACTAAGATAAAAAGCCGGTATTCCAATATCATTCCATGTCCCCACGGGGAGGAAACCAGAAAAACAAAAACATAGAAAAAGATCAAGAAGGTAAAAGAGAGATAGGCAAAAAGAAATGAGTTGAAAGCTATGCTGACAATAATGCCAGTTGCTTATATAGCAAAGAAAGCTATCTTAAAGAAGGTCATCCTCCCCATAACCTTACTTAGCAAACACTACAAGACAACTTTACACAAGTTCTTAGTAAAGCAAGGCAAGCGACAAAGACAATTAAGGCCAGTAAGTGATTTTAGTCATCATCACCACCATCATCATCATCCTCATCATCATCTTGATCATCATCATCAGAGTCATCTTCTTCTTTTCCCTGTCAATGGACAACAGTATAAGAGAACAAGATGCAGGTGAAATATATTTTGCCTGGGTCCAACAAAATTGTCTCTTAAGCAATGAGTAGGGCTCAATAGTAATTATAATATTCCACTTAAGTGGGATTGGTGCAAACTTTAAACAAGCTTGAGACAATCGGATAGAATGATGTCTATTTAGTATAAAAAAATTGGCTAAAATAACAAGACCCTAAAATTTATCACTTTACTTAAATATGCCTTTATACTTTTATTGCAGTTCAAAAAGCCCTTAACCTTTAATTTAAACCCAAATAAGCCCTTAAACTTTAATTTGTATTCAAATAAACTCTTAACTTTTAATTTGTATCTAAGTAAACTCTTAACATAAATTAATCTTTCGTATAAAATAAGAGCTTATTTGGATGCAAATCAAAGACAAAAGCTCATTTGGGTACAATAAAAATATAGGAACTTATTTAATTAAAGTGAAAAAATTGACGGACTTTTTTAATATTTTATCCAAAAAAATTTAATCCAAAAAAATTCAATCTGACTTAAGAATGTGCATATAAATGATCTAAACATATAATAAATGAAATTTTGTTGGTCTCTGTTATTTTACCATCTTTAAACAGAACACATAATTAAATCATTGGCAATTGACCACAATGTTTTTATGTCTGACAATATTCAAAAGCAGTAACAAATTCCAATAGGGTTATACCTAAACAGTGACCTAGATGCAAGTATTCCCTAGAATAAAGAGATAATGTATCTAACGTTTTCTCAAATCACCACAATTTTCATTATTGCTATTTCAACCTCATTACAAATTCCAATAGAGTTATAACTAAACAGTGACCTACATGCAAGCATTCCTTAGAATAAAGAGATAATGTATCCAATGTTTTCTCAAATCACCACAATTTTCATTATTGCTATTTCAACCTCATTCTCCCACTTTCCTCTATACCACTAAATCAAGTACGTCATTGGTCAATATTCCAAACTACAAAAATCTTCATTCTGAACCTCAATCTTAATTTGGTCAATGATCATTCATCTCACAACAACTAAACTTTCTCTACACAAAATTCATTCCAACCAATTACCATAAGCATCTCAAATTATACTATTAAATGCCACCTGCAAGCTCAAAGTTCTTCATCCAATGTATGATTCCAACCATGCTGAATTTGATAGAGTTCTGGAGCTAAACTAATCCAAGGTAATCTAAAAGGCATGCACACAAGACAAAATCCAAATATCCAATCCCACTGATTTGGGTCAGTAGGATAAAACCTTTGCTCAAGTATCCTAAGGCCAAAACATAACAATACATGTTATGAGAAGTAGAGACATGGACCTAGTTCCTACCACTATCCTGCTTTAGCAGGCTTCTCCAGGATTAGTATGGCAAATATTGGCATGGCATGCTAATATATTTATATAATGCCAATCGGTCACTTCTGCATTACTTTAGTACAATCAGTACAGGAATCATATCAAAAGAAACCAGCATATTACAGCATTCACTACATTGTAGAGTAGTAAGCACACTCTTAAGTCATAAAGAAGAGAACAATAATTTCCAACATAAATTAAATTGTCTTCAATAACTAAGTAGTACATGATTATTAGAAGAACCAGTTATAATTATGAATACCTAAACCACAAGGAAACTTTAAAGTCCAACTGCAGGTATAACAGCCAAATTCATACGGCAAGCTCTAGCAAGTATATCTAACACAAATGTCACCATAATTCACAACCACCCAGCAAAAGGAAATGAGCAATCCTCATCAACATATACTTTGAAGAAAAAGTATGAATCCTTTCCAACCATTTCATAAAACCCTAAACCCTAGTAACCACTGTCTATATTTACATTTTGTTATCACAAATTCCTGATTCAATTGATAAATTCACATTTTAACTGCATGAAAAACTCTATCAAATATAAACTACCAAACAAATTTAGCACAAAATAGAACAAACTACTCAATCTTTGGTGAAAATTAAACAAAAAAAAAGTTAAAATAAGGACCACAAAACCTACTGCAATGCAATTTTGATCTGAAAAGAAAAACAAGGTAGAAAAAGTGGTATACGAAAAGCATGTATTAAGTTTTTCAAAGAAACATAAAAAAAAAAAAATGACGTACCTCTTCATCACCTTCGTCACCATCAAAATCCTCTTCATCAGCTTCCTGCATCAAAGAAGTTACCAATAACATTTAGCAAAGGAAGCAAAACATGATTTTAAGCAACAGGCATGTAACAAATCAGGGGAAGAAGCCAGAAGAAAAAGAAAGTTACATTGTTGAAATAAGTAAGAGGATTGGGCCATAAATCCTCCTTGATAATCTCTGCTACCTGTAATGTTTCTCAAGTGAAAGCTTAGACCATCTCTGATACAAAATGAGACCAAAAAAAAAAAAACTACAGAGACAGCACATGCATATAGAATTACCTCATCATGAATTTCATCCATGTCATCTTTCGGCTGAGCATCAGTAAACCAGGTAAAGAAGCTGCATTAATGTGTAAGAAATTTAGGACAATATAGAGCCGATTCGCAGCATGACTGTGTCAGAAACTAGGAATCAAATACAAGACTGGCATAAATTGATGCAAACTTTACAACTCAGCAAATGGTTAGCATGTTATAGTTATAATGCAACTTACATGAAAATAAAAAATATGCATAAATACATACCATTTAGAAGCACATGATAAAATATTTGCCAAGAAATTACAATGAATAAAACTTTATTAGAGTAACAAGACGAGGACTCAATAATACACAATGCATATATAAATGCTAATCAGACTCTCTTCTATTCAAAAAATTGAACCGGCCAATATCTTTAAGAGCAAAACCTAGTTCTAATAGCTAGGATATCCTCCTTACGTATGAGTAGTCTTTGAACAAAATTCAAAATAATTTTGAAATTTGTTACATATATCCTCTTACTTATCAAATCTTAAATATATTTAAACAAATACTAGGATTATATATTCTTACATGTATATTTATCAAGAGGACATATATATTCTGTTTATATGTTCTCTGGTTTCCCCCGTCTTTTCCCTTATCTCCATCATTTCATTTTCCTTTGATGCTTTACAGTTTGCAATTTGAACTTAGAAGATTCATCTTCACTAGAGAGGAAACTCAATCTGTCAAGGTTTGGCTCGATAAAACAGAAGGAAGATGACTCATAAAAAATGAGATTCTTATAAAATGCTACGCTAAAATAGGAGAAAATTATTAAAACATTGAGAAAACAGTAACAAAGTGGCTACATTTCACAACCTGAAGTTGTTACAGAAATCCTAAGACAGAGAAAATTGATTGACAGGTATGATAAACAAACCTTTCCTCAGCAAATTGCCGTTTGTTTCCTTTCTTCTGATGATTAACTCCATTTGGCAAGCCCTTGACATTTAAGGAAAGTAATTGATAAAATAATCCAGGAAAACAGATAACAAGGAGATGAATAGACATCATAAGAGAAGAAGCCCTCACCATGCCCTCTTTCCACTTGATTTGGGTGGCAGCAATTTTGGTTCCCTCGTCAAGGAAAGTAAAGGTCTTCGTAAGCTTTGTATCTTCAAAATATGGATTGGGGTTGAAGTTCTGAAAATTATAATGGAAGTCGGTCAACAAATCACCAGACCGATTAGAGCATGAACTGATATTCCTTCTACCAGCAGTTCAGTGCAATGAAAAGAAACTAAGAGCAATTTCAATTGCACACAAAAAAGATAAAAAGGAACATAAATTAACTTACAAATGTAATAGAGTATCCTGATTTCAGATCTTTAAAATCCTCCACTTCAAGTGAGCTAATATGCTTGAATATCTACCAAGTATTAACAATTGAAAAAAAGATGAGGAAATCAGAAAGCAGTTAACTAAAATTACATAACAGGCAACCATCCAGAAACATTTTTTTTTATAAAAGAAAATGGAACCAAGAATCAATTTTGCAACGTAAAAAAAGTGCAGAACCAATTTCAGTTTGGGAAAGAAGTGACATTAAACCTTCTGATCCTCTTCAGTCAAAAGTTCACCAAGAGCAGGATGACTCAAGAACTGCGCATGAAGAATGCTTGTCAATTTAAAACCTTCTTCTGCACATGGAGACAGATTTTAAAAAACCCCCTAAATTAATAGGAAAGAATACAATCACTTACAGCTGTTAACCAGAAATCAGGTATCGACTTGATGATTTCATTCCGCTTATCATAGACTGGCTTGCGTATTACATTGTACTTCTGCTCCACTTCCAAGACTTTCTCACTCGCTTCCTCATTGATCTAAAACCAAAAAGGAACCAAAAAATTAAATATAGAAACACCAGATGTAACATTTACCACTTCATCAATAAGCTCATAAGCAAGCATATCTATATTAAATCACCTTCTCTACAATAAGACACAATAACCTGAAGTAACCCCAAAAAAACCGGGTTTAACGAAGAAGGGGGAATAGTAGACAAGCTTTCTACAATAATTCAGATATATCCAACATATAAACGACATACAAAGCCGATCAGGTACATAACAATCACAGAAATAATATTTGTAACACTTACATCATTGAACCACAGTTGAAATTACAAAAAATTCAATACTTAAGACACTTCAAACAACGTTCGATAAAAATTATCCCCGCAAAACAAAAGGAAATCCAAAATTTTTTTAAAAAATCCAAATTTAGCTAGTATATTTTCCTCAAATTTTCTCATAAGACCCTAAACAAGCAAAAAGTTAATAATAATCAGCATATACATGCACCGGTATATAAATGAAAGTAAAATGCAAATAAAAGAAATGGACCTTTTCAAGCTCGTCTTGGATCTCTTGAAGCTTCTCGATGGAAAGGACGAGGTCTCCATCGATTTGTTCTGAGTTCTCTTCTTCTCCTTTCTCTGCTACTTTCATCTTCTTTCCTTTGTCTACCACCATTTTTTCTTTCTTATTCCAAACAAAAAAAAAAGAAAACCCTAACCCTAAAAATTTTGCCTTTTCCCTATCTTTTGCTCTCGTTCTCTCTGTTTCCTCTTCTCTCTAAAACCCCATCATGTTTTCTCTCATTTGATAAACATAGAAAAAAAATGAGTGCTAGGGTTTTGGGAGTTTATATAAGGTCTTGTTGTGACATACAAATGGACCAATTGGAATCTGACAGCTGGAAAATAAAGCGTATTATAGTCATTTGATTGAGAAATATAAGGGTAATATGGGAAGAAAAGGACATTCAATCTTTTGATGTTTGGACACGGAATCTTCTAAAGTACTTCAGTTACGAAGGCGTTACACACTTCCACTCGATATTTTTATATGTTTATTTTAGCAAATCGAGTACTACTTCGGTCTACCAGAATCCAAAAAAAAAAAAAAAAACTTAAGCCCACGAAATTATAGATGTTCAGCCCAAACTAAAACGACTTCAGAATTTTAAAAGATATATATAAGAAGCATCAACTTATATTGATGGAAATTTTTTTAGTTTTATATTTTTTAATAATCGATTTTAATAAATTTAAAAGATAATATTAAATTATTTTTTCCAAATTTTTTTATTTATCTTTCTTATCTATTTGATCTATTAAAATTAATATTTATAAAAATGTGTAAAAGTAAAAAATTTTACATTAATATAAGTTGGTATATTCTTTTATATGCATAAAAATGGAATGCACATATAAGTAGTAAAAAAATGAGTTGATATAAGCAAAAATTTTCATTTTCACTTGTCCTTGTCACACTTTTTTAATTAATTTTTTATTTGTAATGCATCTAAAAAATACGTGTCACTGTATTAATTTTGTTAATAAAACTTAAAATTTTCAGTATTAATGTATTTGATAATTTTTTAAAATAATATTTTTACTTTATGGGAGACTATCAATTGAAGAATGGATATTATTAACTCATGGGATAGCTTTTCCATTAAATAATCATTCCATTAATCAAATGCATGCATCATTGTGCATGTTGAAATAAAATATGAAATGAAATAACCAAACATTTTGCTATAATATTTTTCACCCAAATTTAAATTTAATTTTTAATATTTATTCTGAAATAATGAAAATGGATTTATTCTCAATTCAAGTTTTTGAGCATTAAAAAAAAGAAAATTATAAAAAAAAAAAGATTTTGTCTACATATGATAGATTTTCACCACATATGCTCCACCTTAATGAGAATAATTCATAGAATTAAATGTATTTTATCAACTTATAGACAAAATCTTTGTGTTTCTAATATATATGAATTTTGGTTCATTCGTCAATTAAACTGGTAATCTGAATTATTGAATTGATGATGTGATTATTTTTTGGCTAATGTGACAAGCTGCGTAACATGTTATTGGTTAAATAAATACATGACACATAATCTAATGGAATTGTGATGAATTAATTTTTATTATTTTTATTAAAATTAATATTATTTTGAATTAATTATCATGTGCATCGTTTATTAATAATGTTATATAATTAGCCATGGTAGTAAAATAAATAGTATCATCAATTTAACAATACACATCATAAATTTAATAATGCTTTATGGGAAATATAAGAATAGGTTTTCAAAAACTTCTTTCCTTGAGCTATTCTCATCCTATTAGTTTATTAATTGATTAATATTTTACTTGTAATTGGGGCTCTGATACAAAAAAAAAAAAAAAATTTACAGAACGGATATTAGAAACAAGTAATTTGTAGTTCAGGTATAAATCAAAATATTTTAACTAATACTTAAGACTTAAATGTTCTTTTAGTAAAATGTTGAGCAAGTGATTTACCTTTTATAGATAATCCTTTTCGTTATTGTAAGCTATTAAAATTTTTTCTTTGAATTAATGGTCTGATTTTTTTTTAGAGTGGAATGGTTGATTTTAATGAAATATTTGCAGTCAAATATGGAATTTAAAATTTAAAATTTAATCTTATTAGTTTATTATTATTTTTGTTTAATTGGATATGTTAGCCTTTAAGTATATATTGAATTTAAAAAAGAAAATGTGTCAAATGCCTAACTAGATTACGATTACCACAATGATTTTCAAAATATTCTTTCCCAGTCAAGCATACAAAAGCAAAAAAATAATATCATTTTAATTTATTATCCATGCCAGACCTTTTGACGTGTTTGAAAATTCTCCCACTAATCGTAATGATGAAGCTTTCATCATCTTCTTTTCATCACCTTCAAAATCCCCCATATTCTTAAAAGCTTTCTCTTTCAGAGAACAATTGCTGGCCATTTTAATCTCCTTTATAATCTTGACATCTTCATCTAGAACCTTTCTCTTAAATTAGAGCAACTCATTGCAACAAAAGTTTTGGATGCACAAGCCACTCATTTTTTGTTTAAGTACCAATTTTTAATACCTGGAAGACATGGAGACACCTCTATCCAATCTCCAGAAATACACCTATCCATACATCTATCAATTCACCACCTTTATAGTACCGTTGTCAACTTTATCATATTACGATTGAATTTTCCTTGTATGATCTCATGAAACATTTTTAAAAGATATATTAAAGAATCATTGACTTAAAAAAGAATCTTTTTAATCCAAATCATGAAATCTTGAAACATTTTTTCTCAAAGATTTAGATCAATTCCGTTGTGGAATCATTGGTTAAAAATTTATGAAAGATATACAAAACACTTTTGTTCACCATATCACTATCTTTTTTTACAAATCATGTCGATATGTCACTAACACAACCCAATACTTACACAAAAATTTATGGTTCTTAAAGATAATCTCCTCCAAATTCAATGTACGAGCATCCATATGAATATCGTGAATTGCAAAGAAAAAATGTAAACTTAGTCAAAAAATTTCCCCTCAAACACGGCCTTCCACCAAAGATGACACTCTATGAGAAATGCTTCCATCTAATTGCATCTATAAGCTTTACACATATATAAAAGGTATATGAAACAAGGCTTTTAAGACCATGGTTAAAGGTTTTGCCTCTTGATATTGAATTGAAACTCAAGCATACATAATCTTTTTCATGGAATCTTTATTGAAAACCACTTAAAGTATCTAATGAATCTTCGCTATATTAGCAAAACTCTTAGAATTCAAATTATATTGATGATCTGGAGTTTGATCTAAACCAATGATTGAATTATTTTAAGTATGATTCTATTTATGGAGTAAATAATTCTTACTTGAATCTCTCCTAAATTACATCCAATTTGCAAATAAAGCTTTATCACAATTAAAGGTGTAAATGATATATCAATGCTTGCAAGTTACTCGAGTTTGGCTTGAATAAAATTCAAATTCGCTTGGTAATTATTGAGTCAAGCTCGAGCTCTAGCAGTTTGACTTATCGAGTGAGTTAAGTTCAAGTATCTTAATATCCAGGTTGTGAGTCTAATTGAGTTTTTAAATTTTAATATGTTTTTATTATTTTAACTTTATATATATATATATATATATATCAATTTGAGCTCGAGCTTAAGTTTGAACATATAATCAAGCATAAGAATGAAGCTCATTTTTATTAAACGAGCTTAATTAAGCAAGTTTGAGTATCTTGATTTTTATTTTTAATTGAATTCGAGTTTGACAATTAAAACTTGATTGAACTCAAATCAAGTTTTGAACAACGAATTTCGAATCATACTCAAGATTGAGATTTTCACTATAATTTTTATTGTATTCACTCAACTCAGCTTGATTACACTTCTGGTCACAATCTTATTCCAATAAAAATTATCAAGCTGTATAATTAAAAAGGAAACAAAGTGCATTTTATTTTAATTATGTGTCTCCTCGATAAATGTGTCTTCCTTTTTAATTAGTGTGTAACTTTATTAGCTCTTTAATATAAATGAAAGCACTAGAATTTTGGAAAAATAAATATTCATTAAAGGTATATTCGCTAACGATTTATTTAATTTTTTTTATTTTTTATGGGGTATGATATAGGATTTTTGGTTACATAAAAAATTTAGATATTATTTGGTTGAGTTCAATATTTAGATTTTGTCTAACTTTTATTTTGGGTGAACTTTATTAGAGTGACCAAATTTGGCACACTTAACAAATTTTAGTATCTTGTATTGACAAATTAAAATTTAATAACCTATTTGGAACTTGGGTGAAAATTTAATGACGTTTCATGAAATTACATAGGTTTAATTAGTTGATGTGGCAGATAATGTGATGGCCATGTTATTTTTCTATCAAAATTTAGATGGAATCCGTTAAGATGATTGATTTTGGTATACTTTACAAACTTTAGTGACTTGATTGAGACAAATTAAAATTTAGTGACTTAAATGGAACTTGAGTATAAGTGCAATGACTAATGATGAAATTTACTCCAAATATTGCCATATAAGAATTATAGTTACTTTTTCAAGCCTATATATATATATATATATAAATATATATATGTATGTATAAACTCTTACGTAAAGAAGGCAAAACTTTTTTTTTTTTTTAAATATAAATTCTTAAAAAATGCTTTCCTTTGGCTATTATTTTCCTCTCGATCTAATAGTTGATTAATCTCTTACTTTTATGATTAAACAATGATATGTTATATGTTTTGCAATTGCTATAGTAAGGGATCATTTACATTAAAAACCTTATGGAATTAATAATAGACCATTGATCTATAAGAAAGAAAAAGTTATTGTTGCAAAAGTTATTAGTAAGTTGTCGTAGCAAATTGTATAATTTCATAAAAATTAAGTTACTTGCTTGTCATTTATGTGAAGTGAGTATTTAAGTCTTAAGCATCAGTTAAAATATATTAATTTATGCCTAAACTACAGATTACAATGGCAGATCTAAGTTGTAAAACACAAAAATTTTTAAAAAAATTGAAAGAAAATATTTTATTGAACACCTTTTCTGTCATCAAAATTGGTAAATTCTTCTTAATAAAATTTGATTCTTGGTTAAATGATTGTTTAGTTAATATTGAAAATGATATATTAGCTATAATGCAATTTTTTTTTTTTTAAGATATGAGAATTTGTCGTTGAAAATTATAATAATAAAATAATATATTATTTTAATTATATATATATATATTATAAGTAGATACTCTAAGAAAAATCTTAAATTACTACTGACTGATTATATGTTTACGATATCACTCTTATAAAGGCCTTTCACTCTCTAATTAAACAAATTTTTTCTATCACCAAGGAAAACAGTCTCACTACAATAGCTTGAAAATTTACATATGTATAAATTCTAATTAAATAAGTACTTGATAAATAAGTAGATTAATTAAGAATTCAAATGTCATATGCTATTGCACCTAGTGCTTGTTGCAACAACATGTGTGTAACTTTTCCTAAAAGAACAAGTTCGAATATCTTTTAAAAAATAAAAAAACAAATCATATGCTAATGTGTTTCTAAACTCAAGGTAATTTTTGGTCAAAAAAAAAACCTTAAGATAATTATGGTTACCATATAGAAATCTAGGTAAGATTTTACAAAGCCAAGACAATTCTATTAATGTTATACCTGCTTTTGGAAATGCCAAGAGTTTGCTTGCTGTCACTATTTCCATGAATTCAAATCAATTTCTTTCTTTTTTTTTTTTTAATTGTCTATATGCTTGACAAAGTCCTTTGGAATACGCCCCTTTAACAAAAAAGGCATATGATAACAAAAAAATCGTTTGTTATTATTGTCCATTGATAGAAAATGGGAATTAGTTTTGGAAGAACTGAAAAAGAGAAACTTCATGAGTATTATCATGCATCAATGCTAATTGCAGAAGTAACCAAGAAAAAAAAAACAAGGTTAAAATTTTATTCTTATGCTGCAACTTCTTTGAAGTTTTTTTGGTTTTTTTTTTTAGTGCAAAGATCATTTTTAGCCTGATCAATCATATAGTCTCACATGGTTTGTAGTATTCACCATTTTTGTTTAATTCCTCCTCTAATAATTCCATTAGTTATGCTTCCTTTTCGGGTACAACTGGTGGGGTCAATCTTTATGGTTCGCATAAAGTGTTTTTGCCTTTCAGCTTGTATTATGTCCAAGACATTGCTTAACAATGGCATGGCCTTTGGTCCATTTTTCTTGTTTTGCCTCGCCGACATGCCCTTCTGAGTGTTTTGCTTTATGGGTTTATGCTGATGTTAGAATTAGATGACAACAGTAGGGTTTTTAAATTCATGCTCTGTTTTTTTTCTTTTTAATTTTCTTTTTAATGGTTCAAGTGGAGTTCATGATTCTCACTTCTCATGCTTAATAATCAGTGGTTGCCCTATTCCAAGTGGTCCATGACAATTGATAACTATTTGTATTTCAACCACCACCAACATTCCATTGCTAACCTGTGGCTTAATTTTTATTAATAACCAATATTAGAATTTTTGTATATAATTTTGATCTTTTAAGGTTGAATGTGATGGATAACCTCTCCTTTCCCTCTTTCAGTTTTGCATTTATCCCTCTTCATCACATCATGCCCATGAGTCATGCCTTCAGAATTCCAACATATATTTGTTCCTTTTAGGATTAGGTGCAGTTACCTAATGCATGTTTATGCCTTGTAAAAGACATTGGATTTTGTTAGACGCTAAGCGTCAAGGTCAGCCCTTTAATCGCCAAGTTAGCTCCCGCCAATACCCACCAACCATAAGATAGTCAAGGCTTAACACCTGGCCAACTAGCCATCTACTCAAGCAACACTTCCTCACACTGTAAAAACTAAGGTTGGAGCACACATACATCATTGGAACCCCCTTACTCTAGGGCTCCCTTACCTTCTTCATCTTCTTTTACATTCTTCACTCAACTGGCATGAGCGTCAAAGCATGCTCTGGAGCCCTATCTCCGGCGCCCCTCACCCGTTCTTTGTCTTACAAGTCAGCTCCTGACAACCTTCCAGCGAAGCACCGGGTCATCCCTTCCAAAATACCATCAATAGATTTCTTTAGTGTATATGACATCTGTGATATGTAATTTCAGTCTAATTATAGTTTGTTGCAAAGAAAAACCTCATATTCATCCATATGTTTGCAGTTCATCTGTCTTTCTTAGTTTGCCAGGGTGATTTTCACCATTCCATCTCAAGTCAACAAGCATAGAGATTTTGCTGCTATGACCTAAATAACTTTATTTTACTATCTGATAGGATTTTCCAAATCTAGAATGGACTGTTTTTACTGGATACCTACCTAGTTTCTATGAGATGAAAGGGAGAGTAGAGCATGGGGAACCACCCTCACATCAACCTATCATTTTATGATGGTTATGGAATTTATTGTAGCTACCCAACTTGCTGCAATATATATATATATATATATATTTATATATGACTGACTGCCATCAGTTGAAGATGTCATTGTGGGCAGCATTCTTAGTAGTTTCCATCATTAAATTACAACCCTATTGAAAGTTGAAACTTTCAGCTTTCCATTAAATCCAATGGGCAAGGAGAAAGAAACTCGATGCCACAATTTTAGAACTAGTGGCGCCTTTTCATCCTATTGTTATGATTTGCATGTGTATCATGCATACTTGAAAGCTGGATTATCCATCTTCCAAATAATTAAAATTCTGGATAAGATTGAATTTAGCTCAGTTGGTTCATGCATCCATTTGTAAGAGTTGGCATCTAGTATGTTGATTCAAATTCCAACATTTGCAACATCTTCGCTGCTGCAGCTTCCCTTCTACAAAATAAAATTCTGGATAAGACTTAAGTAACTTTTTTTCCTCATAACTACAAGTAAATAAAGAAGTACAATATCTTGTCATTGAGGTCGTGTATTTCAGTTTGGCACAGATGGATTGCATTATAATTCATGATTCAAAGGCAGAGTTAAATGGCAAAGGTAGGAGTGGGATTTTAGAACATATATCATATATGCCACTTTTCTAAAGCATGTATCTTCATGTTTTAAGATCTTCAGTTTTGGAATAGAGAAATAAATGCCATCGCAAATCTCTATATATGTTTGTAGTCTCTTAGGTGAGGCAAAGATGGCTTGTTAAAAGGCAAATTCACTCAAAAGTTGGAAAGAAGCTCCAAAACATGAATGTCCCCCCAGTTGAATATAAAGAGAATAAGAATAAAACTTGAACACATGAATAAAAGGTAATTGATTAGACAAATGTGGTCTGATTTAACCCTCTTTTGGGTCCAATTGCCTGGACAAATTCAGATTCTCATTTTATGTTTCCAGGCTGTTATGCATTTTAGTGACACAAACTATATGACCTTTGTTGCTAAATTTATTAGAGAGAAAATCGGTACTTAAAAGGAATAGAGAAGAAGAATAATGCCGACTTGAAATTTATATGTAATATTTAGGAGAAATTACATAATTAAAAGAAAATTTATGTCAAATGGAAAAGTTTCTAGCTATCTTCTTCCATAATCACCTTTGATTTACCCGTGCCCCGCTGCATAGGCAAAGGCTGCATAGCATGTGCAAAAAGGCAGAATAACAGTGAGATTTCTCATGGAAAATGCTTGTTCAGCTCATGGGAAATCAAGATCTTTTACCTTAATATCAGCTTGTAAGAGTCTTTCTGGCATGGGGTTGACTAATTTTGGAAGCTGGTGCAGGTGAGAAGGATTTGACTTCTCATCACTTCTGTATGCGGTTTCAGCAACCATAACTGCTTTGTGACTCTTGCACCCCAATATCCCGCCTGTTCGGCTTCTTTGTGTCTCTTTATCAGGCAAAGTTTTGCCGTTCGCCACTCTACTGTATGTTTTTGATCCCGGAGCTTTAATATTTTCTTTTGGTTTCTTTTCATCATAATCTGAAAGAAATGAGCAGTCAGCAGCATTGGCACTGACGACACTCCATTCAATGCTGGTCTTGCTTGGTGCATATGGGGTAATGCAGCTAGACATGCCATCAGATGCTTGTCTTGTGAACAAGGCCTGACCGCAATCGAATATGTTATCTATCTCAAAGAGATCTGAGCTAGCATCACTCTCAATATCATCGCCTACCTGGCTGCTTCTGTAAATAGATGACATGGTTGGAGCATTTGGAATGGCATCCCAACTTAACATGGACAGTTTCCTCTCAAGGTTATTGGCTATGTCTCCCTTCTTCATCGCAGTGGAGCCAAACACTTCCAGGGATTTCCGTGGATCATCCAATTTTGTTTTAACTGTCACATTTTCCTGCCCCGGTTTCACAACTGGTGGTCCAAAGTACACTTCTCTGTTTGATCCCACGCTCATCTTATCGAAACTCTGGCTGTCAAACTCATCTTTTACCTGATATTTTGCTTGGGGCAGTTTCCTCCTATCCATATTGACATGCCTGTGATTGATTTGGATGTGTTCTTTTCTGTAATCTTTTCCATGATCAACATTTTGATTGACATAAACAGATTTCCCATTTGAACAAGACCCGATGCAGCTAAGAATAGAGAAAAAGCTCCTTCCATATGCATTCTTTTGCTTGTTTTCAGATCGATTCCTCATAGAACTTTGTAACAAAACAGTTTGGCTGCCCCAACTTGCCTCAGAACTTGCACTTGGTGTGCCAGGCCAGCGCCTTGGGGTCATCTGATGCAGATCAACTTGTTTTTCCATCTTAAGACTATGCTTGTTAGAATAATTGTCATTAAGCCTTGGACTGTCATCATCCAGTTTCATGTTGAAGTATTTTTCAGAACCAAAGACACTGATTTCACCCTCTTCAGCCTTATTTCTTTCTAAGCGTACATGAGCATGAATTCCTCCACTCGGAGCAATGGCAGGATGGGGATGCTGAATTGCAGGTTCTATAAGCTTGTGCACAAAGATCTCTTCAGCTGTGCTAAGGTAAGAAGAGAATGAGACCTCGCCAAAACTACTGTTTTTCCCCTTCTCACCATCCCCTATCTGAGACATGCAGCCAGGTACAAGAAGATGTCTTTGAAGTTTCAAGGACTAGAAAGTTAAAGAGAACTACAGGACAAGGAACTAATGCAGCAAAACTTGGGAGAAGCAGAAACCAGGTGGAGAGGGATTCAACTTGACAAGGTGGCCTTTCAAGTTTTTTAACTAGAATCTTTTTGATTCGAGGAAGGAAAGGAGATTAACTAGCTTCTTGAGAAGCAGAATTGTGTATATGTAGATTTGTTGCTGTAGGGCTGCAACTTTTCAAAGAGGTCCTACTAGCCTGGGGCTTGATTGACAATTCATCATCTTTTTTTTTTTCTCGCTAGATGTACTCATAGTTTTCATTCTCCAACTATTTTCCTGATATGGAGAATTATCTTCATTTTTCTTTCAACACTATGCACATATAATTCAACACTGTTTCATCTTCAGTCTGCTTCTATACATGGATGGTGTGGTGACAAGTTGCACATGCCTGCAATTAAAGGTCTCTACCATCCATGGGAGAGAAGCTAGCCTATGGAATGACAAGAGTCCAAAATGGTGCTGGTAGTAGAAGTGTGGTGAACAAGAAACAGAAGGTAGATTTACCTAATGCATTAAACAATAATAGCAGCAGAGTTAAGAATTCAAGTATCTTAGATCATCCACACTAAAAAAAAGAATCCAGATTTTATGGAGATGTGAATCCCAATTTATAAATGCTCACAATAATTGGTAGAAAAAATGTCGTTATCATTGTTATCATCATCATCATCATTCATCATTTCCTAAAAGGAAACAGCTTTAATTTCTTTATAAATTGGTAATCACACTTTCTTAAAGTGAATGAATTTTTTCTGCAAAATATTCAAAAAAGGAGCAATAAACAGAACAAAGAAAGAAAAACTAGGCACCCTTAAGGAATAAGACAACTTCCTCAATGAAGAAACTGAACATAAAAATTAGAATATACAATTTTAACTATGACAATGATATGATACAAAAAAGGACACGAAAGTGATAAAATTTAAAATTTCAGCAAAAAATTGTATATAAATTTGGCAAAAAATAAAAGAATATGTTTTGCATTTAGAATGTTCACACACATTATGATATCATAATTTTATATTTCATACATGTTAGATATAGTAGACAAATACGGATTCACTAATTGTCAGGTCTAATAAAAACCATTAGATATATAATAATAGAGTTAAAAGGGAAGAAAAAAAGGATCTTCCTTGTCTAGATAATGACACTGATATTTGTAACAACTCTTCTAGACATCTTTATCCTCATTCACAACATTGCAGTGCTAACAGATAAATGAGTTATAGCCCCGTCCGATCGCCAAGGCCGGGATTCCTGTTAGACGAATTGGACTCATTTGTGCAAGAAATGGATTCAATTATTGTACTATGGCAAAGCTACATTGTCATTTCCTTACAATTCATGGCTTTTTCTTGTGTCTTACAAACTTTCCCTCAAGGCCTTTCATCACAAAATGGAAAGGTGGGAAGACTTGGATTAAAAACTGAAGATCACATCTGGACAAAATGCTTCTGTGATGATAAAAGATAAAGCCAAATGGGTTGGTTGAGTCGATAAGGTTAGAATGGTTTCCCTGTAAAGCTTATGTTCGAATCCCCTGTTAGCAGTTCTTGATGCACGATCCGTAAATACAATATAAGTAAATTTTAAGACCTAAGGTCTTCTGTGGCCCTGAAATAGGGAATACAATTGAAAATCAGTAATATGTAGCTTTCTGAAAGAGAGTGGCCTAATCTAAAACTTTTTTTTCTGTTTTTAGAAGAATCCAGGTTAATCTATTACAGAGAATGCTGATTCACTTGCTAAGATACATATAGGTGTTGCCATCAGTTTCTTGTGCTAATGAAAAATAAGAGCATTTCAGGAAAAGATTAGTATAAAGCTTCCTCATTTTACTAATCCGCTCACTCCAAGGACATTGTATTATTTTCGAAAGCAACTCGATACTTTATTTACTGCAAATACTACCTTTTCTGAGACAAGAGGGGGCCATCCTCATGATCCACCACCATTCTTGTATTCCGTCTCATTCCTCCCACAATTTTCTTTACCTTGATTAGCACGTCCACAATTTGTAAAAACTGAAGTTCATTTCATACATGCTCTTGCCTCTTTTGTAAAGTTAATATCTTAAGAACCAAGATCCAGGGCGTCAGTGATTCATTTCATAAGATCTTCAATGACTTGTCAATGCCATCCACTTGAAATTCTAGGCACCCCTGTCAAAAGAATCACAAGCACAAGCTAGCGAGGCTGGTAAAGCCTGATGGATCCTGGGTGAGAAAAATGAGTGGAATCCAAAGTTTTATTAAATCACGATCATTGGGTTTTGTTTTGGTTTGGTTTATGGCTTTGTTGCCATGTGGGAGGAGATTCTTAAGAAGACTAAAAGGAAGTTTTCTGAATTAGTTGTTTGTAGTTTGAGATTTGTGGGCAAGTACAGTTCGTTGAGAATCTGGCTCTCTGTATTTCGGAGGAAACTGACTTCGACCTTGTTCTGTTCTATGTCCCGTCAAAAGAAAAATTTCTATGTCCGAAATAAAAAGCTTAAATTTGGAAACTGACTTCGAACTGGTTCTGTTCTATGTCTCGTCAAAAGAAAATTTTCTATATCCGAAATAAAAAGCTTAAAATTAAATGTGGAGAAATTCAAAATAAAAAACTTAAATGTGGAGAGTGGGATTTGAACCCACGCCCTTTCGGACCAGAACCTTAATCTGGCGCCTTAGACCAACTCGGCCATCTCCACCTTTGACTTTTGTGATTGAATTTTATATATAACTCTATTTTATTCCCATATCACGCCTTGTTCGTTTACATTTTTTTTTTCTGCTTCTTTGAAATGGAAAGTCCTGAACCCGATGATGGAAGAACCGATGAGAATTCTGGAACGAAATAGATAAGAGATTAGATTATTAGTTAGTAACTGCTCAAAGGCTGATTCATAGGATGGTTAACTGCTGTCTCAATAGATGGGTTTTCATATAAATTCATGAGAAAAATAAGAGATTTGGGTTTTATATATATATAGTATACATTTTATAGAAAAGAGAACGCATTGGAGGAGATGAATTTGCGGAGCATCCGCATCATGTTGTTCTTCTGGAAAAAGAAGATCTGAAGCACCAAAGCAGGCCGAGCGGGCTATGGCTTAAGTTTCAGGTACTGGTCATAAAAGGAATAGTTCGAATCCCGTTGTTACCACTTTTTCTTTTAATATTTACAAACATTTTGTTGAAAAAGTTTCATTTTTTATTTAGCTTTTAGAGGCTTGCTACTTGCAAACAAGGCATCAAATTCTGCTCTTCTCTAAAAAAAAAAAAAGAAAATAAAATTCGATTTCTACATTAGTTAATATTTATGTCATTTTTTAGTATAAAATCTTTATATATAAGATGTGTCAGTTTTCAATAATCATTTTTTAAGATGAAACGGATTAAGGAAAGAGAAATCAATTTGAAAAGTGATGGTCCAAGAGAATACAGATAACAATCAAATTATCCTAAAACTTTAAGCAAATTCAAAGAAATATTTTCAATTTTTAATAACAGAAACAAGCATGTATAGTTAAACAAAAGTTCCTTAGATAACAAGGAAATGATCCTTTGATCCATTACCTAGTCAGTGAACACATCAATGATGTAAATGACATGGAAACACTTCATTGATCGTAATTCTTTGAAGGGCTGTTAGGTAAGCAAAAAGTTGACAAAATCCATAAAGAAGATTGTTTGTAAATAGTGTCTGACAAGAAAAGCTTTTGAGAGATGGGAGAAGAAAACAAAGTGATACTGCATGGGACGTGGGCTAGCCCTTTCAGCAAGAGAGTGGAACTGGCTCTGAAACTTAAAGGCATACCGTTTGGTTATGTGGAAGAAGATTTGCAGAACAAAAGCCCACAGCTTCTCCATTATAATCCTGTTCACAAGAAGATTCCTGTTCTTGATCATAATGGAAAGCCAATTGCTGAATCACTTGTCATCCTGGAATATATTGATGAAACCTGGAAGAACAGACCTCATCTCTTGCCGGAAGATCCATACAAAAGATCTAAAGTTCGCTTCTGGACAAGCTTTGTCCAGCAACAGGTTAGTGAATGATGGATGGTAATACGGGACATATTAAAAGAGTGATTGATTCTATTGAAGTTTAACTTAATCTTCAAGATAAAAGGAGGACTAATGCTTATTTTCTTAAATGCATCTGTTTGAATCAATGGTCACGTGATCAAAACAGATGAGGAAGCATAAGAGAAAGCCATCAAGGAATTGTTCAAGAAATTAGAGGTGCTAGAAGAGGGAATAGAAGAGTTTTTCCCAGATGGCAATCCTTGCATTGGCAGCGACAATATTGGATTCCTTGACATTGTAATGTTGTGACTATTTGCACCCCCCCCCCCCCCCCCAAAAAAAAATTCAAGAAGAGGTTCTTGGCATAAAGATTATAGATCCATAGAAGACTCCTTTGATATTCTCATGGCTGATAGCTATAACCCAACTTCCTTTGGTGAAAGAGTCAACTCCTCCTCATGATAAGTTGGTGGCACTTCTTAAATTTCTTAGAGAGAATGCCCTCAAATATTCTTCAGCTTAGAATCATGTGGTGTTTGCTTGATGTTATTAGGCATTGTTCTAGCCTTAAGTTCCTTTCATATGACTCAAATAAACAGGAGTAAAAGCTATATTATCTATGTGGCTTAGATTGTTTGAACAAAGCCTAGGGCTTCCTCAGCAGTAAAAGCTATATTTCATTGGCGATTCATGCATTTTCAAACAAATATGATTCTGCAATTGTCAATGACAACAATTTGAGTTAAAAAAAGTCATGGGACTTATGATGGCATTGATTGGCATGATGAGCTTTGTCTTTGGGATTAGGTGCGTTTATTAACCAGATTCAAGCACTGCAAGAAAAGAATTACTACTACTATTTTCTTTCACCTGTTGCTGGATATAGCTTGTTCTAATTCCAAGGATCATCAGGCAGGAGTTGTGGACCAAATTTTCCACGCTTCCATGAGCACTATGTAGTGTAGTTTCCCACTGTGAATTAAACAAGAATAAAAGCTTCCTCATAGAAAGGATCATACTTGAGGAGAAATGAGGTGACGTTGTTCATCAAAGTTACTTCCGCATTCTCAAATGGTATGCCTTCTTCAATCTTTATTACCTCTCTGTCTTAAATTGGACAAGTGCTAAGCTCATTTGACCAAGTACTAATGTCATAGCATCATATGAAATCCGAAAACAATAAAATTGTATAAATATTGCATTAGTCGAGTCAAAGTTTCCCCCCTATTCCATTCATAAGATTTGCACATCTCATATATATTTCTTGTGTCAATAATTACAATTAAATCAAACTAATTCAATCCGAACTCAAATGATTCAATCATTCATTGATTTGAATTGACTTGATTCGATCATTCATTAACTTGAATTCAATCAAATTCAAACCCTCCAACTCAGACTCACCCATTCGCCACCCCTATACATACCTCATCATTTTTGTGTCATAATATGCAACCAAGTCAAACTAATTATCACATTCCTATTAAAATATATTTAATAATTATTAAATTAGTTATAAAGAAGGACACAAGTGATAATATTTCAATCTAACTGGTGACGTTTTAAAATTTTATCCATTGTAATATAATAATTCTTAATTACATAATAATTTTGTTGGAAAAAATAATGAAGTATTAAAAAAATTATAACAAGAATAGTAGAATTAATATGAATAAAAATAAAAATATCCAAATAATGTTATGAATGAGCTTAAATAACAATTTTATAACTATAATATGCATATACATAATCATTTAAACAAAATAAAATCCAATAAGTAACTTCTCAAGTAAAACAAAGCATAGATTAACTTATTACTAAATATAGTTATCTTATTAATTCAATAAGATATGTTTCCAATAAGTTGGAATCAGGAAACCACACATTACAACGTCCACGAGAAATAAAATATGACAAATCATACTCTTTCAACCAAAGGCAACTAGGGCATAACACGAGCATTATTTCTACAAAGTAAAAGAGACAAACAAAATAGCTCCAGACAACCACAGATTTGTAACCGTGGCAATGTTTAAATAACAGCAATACGCTATTTGAATATATGCAAGGGCCCTGGTCCAAGAAAATAGAAAGGAAGCTCCATAGAATTCCTAGCAAGTGTAAGCAATCTTCCCAGCTATGCCTTTTCGACATTTTATCTGCTCCATCGTTTGGTTAAAGCCTGTTGTGAATCATATAATGGCATTTAGTCTCTAAAATGAATAAACAAGTTACTTTTTTATGGGTAAATAATAACCTAGTATTTATCGAAGTAAAAGTAACACATTTTAAAATCCAAACCTTAATTAGATGGATGCATGGTAAACTTTTGAGGTATTGTGAGCAGCAGCAGTATCCGCGACAGCTCTGGCATTGGTGCAGGCTTTGCTTTCAACCCCATTATCCTGCACCAGCAATGGGGTAGGGTTGATTGATTGCTATTCAGAATCATCATAGACTTCATCATCAGAACGCTCATCAAATGATCTCATGTCAAGCTGGTATCGAAGGATACCTCCTATCCCACCAAACCCCCTGCAGAACTGAGAACCCTCCTGTGATTTGTTGGTAACGAACTCAAGACTACAACCAAACTGCTTGTATTCATTAGCAAACCACTCTAAAAGAGCCATCTTCTCCTGAACCTCCATAACAGAGGAGGTGGCTGAATCACGAAAGTTGCTCTCATTAGCTTCCTGCTCCTTGTTCAAATGTTTTATGACAACATCACCGGTAGTAGTGTTCTTCAGCACATACCTAGTTATGTCCAGATTTTCCCACACAATTAGTATCTCAACAGCTCCCATCTCCAAGGCCTTCAATGAGTCATCCACACCGAAAACATACTTCCCAGTATCTTGACTGATCTCCTCAAAGTATTTCCCTATTAAGCGCTTCTCCTGTATAAATTTCACATTTGACAGGATTTCTGAGGAAAGCTCAATTGCCTGGTTGAAACCATTCTCTCCTCCATAAGAGACATCAACCACATTCAGAATCTTAGCCTGAAGCCGCTGATCAAACATATCTGATTGGCTCAGCTCAGTTTTGAAATCAGCTGATCCAGCCAGTATCAATCCAGAAACGTTAGGCTGGCTGGTGGCAGGATTGATAAAAAACTGAGTGGCAAGCTCAGCAGTCTTCCTCACATAGTTGTGGCGCTTTTCCATTCGAAGTCGAGCAAAACGAAGGGCTGATTGTCCTCCTCTCCCATGCTTCTTTGGAAGATCAACACTGAACTTATGAAGCACCTCTCTGGTGTTACCACTTAATGTCCCGAAAAGAGTCCCATTACCATCCATCACAATAAAACCAAACTTGTCATCTGATTCCAAAAGTTCATTCAGTGCCTCTGTGTGAAACTTGTTGTCACAGAGATAAAGAGATGCATTTATAGGCCTGAAAGGCTCAAAATCAATTGTGACTTTCTTCTCCTTCCCATCTTCAGTCACAATTGTTCCTGTGTAGAGCACAAGCCCATTGGGAGGAACCTTACTATAAAGTTTGAGCCTCTGCTGTGCAGAAGTGATTGCACCTAACACAGATTGACGATTAACTCTGCTTTTGATGTTTGAAGCAGTTCCAAATTCATCTCCCAACATCTTTGTAACCCTCGCTATCTGATCACGTGGAGGCATTATGAGTGATATCATGCTGGTGCCATTGCCTCTAGCAGCTTCAAGTGCTTTGATCAGCTTCTTGATCTTCCATATCTCAATATTTTTATCAGTTTCGTGACCATCTGCCATTGTTAGGTAAAGTAATAATTGCCGAAAAGAAGCAGCTACAAAATTTACCTAAAAAGACACCAAAGCAACAAACTATAACTCAAAAGTATTCAAATCCATCACTCCCGCAACATAAGACATAAAATTTTTCTCAAGCGTATAAATCAATAAACAAAAGAGTCATAACAACATGAATATTAACAAATATAAGATCTACATCCAACAAACTGCCAAAGATAAAAAGCAAGTGTTAATCAAATCATAAGCACCATCCAGTCTAAGTCACAGCAAGCATCAAGCAATTGTTTATATTTGTGTTAACAAAACCAAGTTCCAATTAATTCTGCGAACAGCCATCACAAACTTCAAATAAATTAAAGAATCAAGAAAAAGAAAAACACGAGCCGCTTAGTAATTGGTAATACTAACAAACAAGATCTCAATGAATCCCCTCAACACTGAGGCTTTTTCAATTTGTTTATCCATGGTATTTGAAAAGAATAGGCAAAGTTAAACCCCAAATATTCAAAAACAAAAATCATCAAAAAAGTGAAATTTGAAGCGATTTACGCGCTAGGAGGAAACAAAATTGAGTGATACAGTTCATACTTAATTCCCAAAGTTGCTTTGAATTTGATAAAAGATCGAATCAGAAATCAGACGGAGATCAAATAGGAAAAGAAAAAGGAAAAAAAAAAAAGGAAATTAATAGATAGAGAGAGAAACCTGAGCGTAATCGCCTTCAAAGGAATAGAAGAAGAGGCTGTAAAGTTGATAAGGTTGGGAGCGCACGCCGATAGAATATTTGTTGCTTACTAAAACCAATATAATGTAAGACGGCTTTTGGGTAGAGGTGGGAACGGTACGGGCGAGACGCGTTTTCTCTCGTCCCAAATTTAATCCGATTTTATAAATTCAATACTCAAATTTGATTTGATTTAATGTTAAAATATTATTTTAATATTTATAATTTATATATATGAAAATTTAAAATTAATAAAATATTATTTTTTAAAATATAAATATAATATAAAATTAAATAAATAACAAAAATAATATATATACAGAATCGGCTTAAAACAAATTTGTATAAAATCTAATTTGACTTGATATTTTTGCAACAATACTCAATTTTATTCAATTCGAAATTTAATTAAAAAAATAATTTTATAGAATCAGATTGGATGAAAAATTTAACCGGTAGGAATTGAATTATCAACTTATTTTGAGTTTTAGGAGAGAGAAAATAAAAGCAATTACAAATTAGGGTGATCTGACAAAAATATTTATAATTGATATCATAGTAAAAATAATTAATAAAAATGTGAATACGTAAAATTAGACAAAAAAAAATAGGAATTTGCAATTAAATTTATGCATACTGCTGTTTAAGGCCATCGGTCGGGTTATCAGAAGCAATGAAGAAGCAAAAAAAAAAAAAAAAAACACCAATGAATTGCTTCAACAAATGGATGTATTAGAAGAAAAAGATGAAAAAAACTTTCCCCGATGGCACTGAATGAATCCAAAACGAGAACATAGGGCTCCTGGACATTCTAATTAGAGCAACATTTAGTCCCTACAAAGCTCTAGACAAAATGCCCTCAAATCTTCTACTTGGCACTTCTCGTGAGAAACTATCAATGTTACAAATATGAAATTTGGTGGCCTAAATTAAGTTTGAGGAATTACAAAACCATCAACTATGACCCAAAAAAGAACCAAATTTCGTAAAAAGACATAAAAGAAAAATGAAAAAAAAATCTTATTGAATAATCGTATTTGTTTTGATAAATTTATTCTTCCAACAATTAAACCTACTTTGATTATATCAAGACAAATAGAAGCAAGGAACTATGCAATAATATGAAATGTACGCCATGATGAAAAAATATGAGTACGTATATTTTAAAAATAATCAATTACGATAAAACCTACAAAAGTAGGTATGGATTGGAGGAAAGGATCTGTCGAACGTTTGGCAACTATTGTTAACCCGAGCTGAGTATTTTATGAAGTGAGCAAACTAGTCGAAAATATAACAAGAAAGGCTATTTCAATAATGGCAAGCTTGCTTGCATTTGGAATAAAGCCTGTTGGCATATGTATCAACTTCTGTATCAGCGCAGCTACTGCGGTCTAAATATTGGTAATTGAGAGTCAATACTGTTTTAGGAAAGTCCACTGTCTGCTATGTTTCCAATACTTCCTTAATTCTTGTGAGCTAAATGGCAGGGATGAATGCATGTATTCTAGTGAGGTGTTTATGAATATTTTTAAAAATTAGAAAATAAAAAATTTTGAAAGTTCATTTATCTTTGATACTTTCAAAAATTTTGCTAGACACTCTCAAAATTTTCACTTAAACATCATTCAATCATAAAAAAAATTTCAAAATATGAGAAGGATATATATGTTGAGAATGATGTATTTGATAGTTTTATGGATTGATATGGCTATGTTTTTCTTTTTTTTTCAAAATATGAGAACTTGTCTTGATAATTATAACAATGTAGCAATATATTATTTAAACTTTTTATTTACAATTTTTTATATATTATAAATGACACACCAGAAAAGAATCTTGGATATGTCACTTGTAATGGTTCAATGTGTTATCTTTACTTTCTTTTCAACCAAAAAGAAGAGCTAAACTGTTTGCCAATTTGGAGGGGAAGATGCCTTTCTGGTTGTCAACTGAGGGATCTCCAAAGAGATGGAGTAAGCAAGTTTGTCGAGGTTCCTGGTGCCTTTTTACCACAAGAAGAGTACCCTACGATGGTCGCAGAGGAGCTTTCCCAGTTTTTGCAAAAGAATTTTGAAGTGAATGCTTAAAATCCTTCATGATGGTTCTTCTAACTTCTGAGGGACAGAGTTTTCTTCCATAACAATCCAGCTCTAACATTTTCCCATTGCTGGTCAGAATGCTTGTGTCAATGCAATTGTACCCAAAAGGAGACCCTGTAAGATGACATCTTTATTTTATGGGGGGTAATGATGGTTGATGAAGAGAAGTCATGTAATCTATTTCCGTACCCCAAATGGCAAAAAAATGCCTGAGATTAATGCTTTGATAATTGCTTCCTTTACTCTGCACTTTATATGGTGATTTGTGAGGATTATTTATCTGTGTTCAGGCTTTTGTTTGTCAAATTAACTTCATCCAAGCCCAAGATTCTTACATTTTCTTGTTTGTGTTGCACACCATATCCCTATCAATGAAGCCTTGGACCTATTGATCAATTGCTAAACTTTTAATTTTAATGTCCAGAATTCAATAAAAAGAAACTGCGAGAAGCAGTGACCTTACAATTAAAATAATAATAATAATAATAAAATGAAATTGTGTTAGAGATGGAATACAGATTTTTAGTCTTGGAATAGTAAATGCTGCTGTGCAGAGGAGGCATTGATGGCATTGCCATTGATAACTGAGTCTGAGAAGGCTACTCCTCTTAATTGTGCGCTTATAAAGCTTGCAACTTGACATATCTTTAACTTTCTTACTTTACTAAGTGTTTAGTAACTGAACATATCATTTAGCAAAGGAAAAAGGTTACTGTCCTTTGTGTAGTCTATGATGTAAAGAGTCCTTTCATGTTTAATAGAGAAAAAAAAAACACCAGACTTACGGTATTTATGGTTACAAGATAATTAAAGGGCTAGAGTCCATAAAAAAAATGGACTGGAGATTGAGAGAGAGAGAGGTTCAATCTAATAGTGAGAATGAATCATTTTGGGCTTTTAATTTTTCTATTTATCTGGGCTATAAAAGAAAAGGGTTGTAGTCTCTAAATCACCCTTTCATGTTTGTCATATATATTTTTTAATTTTTAATTGAATAACGGAATTCGAATCCTACTCTTTTGATTAAAAAATCATGAATCAGTATGATTGAATTAAATGCTTGAATGCATCCAAGTTTAGGTCATGACGGTTGCAAAAGAAATTGTAAATGGTTACTGTGAGAATAAATTCTTTATCTTTTTTGTTTATAATTGTGCTTTTAGTAACGTTTGTTTTCATCATTTAGCAACGTTTATGATTCACTTTTCATGAATATTCAAGTTTTCATCGCATACATAACTGTTCAAGCTGTGATAAAAGAAGCTTGAGTTTGAATTAACATGGGGTTGACATTCTAATTAATTAAGCCAGACCATCAAATTAAACCTAAAGTTCAATAAACTAGCTATAAAACATCTAGGTTTGATTTGGACCCTCTTAATTTACATGAACATGAACATGATACACATGTGAATGTGGAAATTGCAACCTTTAAGCCATCTTAGGTATAACATGTCAAGATGATGCAATTAGGAGATTTTATGATTTTCGAAAATTTTTTAATTTTTACTATATATTTGAAGTTTCTTTTCTTATTAATTCAGGAAACTTATATTGTTAAAGTCAAATTACAGTATTATTAGTTTTTCTCTAATCATCATATTAGGTAATATTATGCATTGATATTAATTCGGTAGATTTAGAATATATTTGACTTTGGGAAATGAAGTCTAATTGAATAATTTAAATATAAATTTTTCATGTTTTAAAAGTGTTTCTCTATTTCTAAGGATACCACTTACTATTGTTTTGTTGTTATTTAGAGTTGGCACAGGGCTGGTTTAACGGGTTTGGATTGAGTTATTTTCGGATTTGGTTTTCTTAGATTAGGATTTATTTCGAGTTTAGATTATTTGGATTTATATTTTTTTGGATTTGGATACTTTTGGATTTGAGTTTTTTTGGATTTGAATAATTTTAGATTCGAATAAATTTTAAATTCAAACCATTTTGAATATGAATTATTTCGGATTCGATTCAATTCGAGTTATACGAATTTATTGTTTAGATGAGTTTGAAATTTTTTTTAAATTTTATAAGTTACAAACATATTTTTATAATTTAGAATTAAGGATTAATTTCATTTTTATATAATTAAATAAAAATATTACAAAAATGTTAATATTAAATTTTAAAAATAATATATTTATATAAATATATATTATATATTAATTTTATCTTTAAATATTATCTATTATTTTTTAGTTCATTGTACAAATTCAAGTAAAAATTAAAATACTCAAATTTCACACAGCTGAGTAATAGACATTATTAAAAAGGATTAGTTGTCTTGTGGAAGACTATAACAATATTGAATTAGTTGCCTTGTGGAAGATGATTAAAAGTTTCTTATTACAATGTATGTTAATATTTTATTTTATAATAATATTTTTGTGGACAAAAAAATTGAGAAATTTTTTATTAACAACAATTGTGTTGCTTTAATTGTAATTTGTAAGATCAAATTTTGGATATTCGAGTGACTTGATCTTGATTATGCATTATTCTTAAGAATTTGAAAACTTTGGTTATTTGATTTTAGGAATTGAAGAATATATTTTATTTTATTATATTTGTTTGAATATTGTACTGTTTAATTTAATTATTTTTTATTTTTATATTTCGATTTTGAAATAATATATTTTTATGTATAAGATAATGTTTTTTATTTTCAAGTAAAATTAATATTTTTATGTAATATGTTTGAAACATTAAAAAATATAATTTAAAATTATTTTTTTATAAATAATGGTATTAATGTTTTTCTTAAAACATAAAATTAAATCAAATAATAAAATTATGATATAATTTTTTTATATTTGAATTATCAATATATTAAAATTAAGATTTAATTATATGGAATAAGTATAATGAATCATTATTGTAAAAGAATATTTTATAATGAAATTAAATTTTAAATTAATGATGTTATTTTTTTGTTTTATATTGATCATTATTGTAAATATAACGAGATGATAGTGTTAAAAATCATTAGACATTAATATTTAATGTGTTTTAAATTACATTTATTGTATAATCAAAGTTAAAATTCTAACATTAATTTTGTTGATTATTATTGAT